GTCATTTTGTTGTAATTCAGTTCCAAAACAGCCCAATTTTACAAAAGTATATTTTATATTTTTCCAGTATCACTGATAATTTAAGAATAATATTTATTTAACTTACCGTCTACTATGTTAACAATAAGTATTAACAATATAAAATATAGTATACTGACACATCGTCTCCGCCCAGAATCGTTTTTCGTATACAATGATATGATATTATTGAATTCAAATTTAATACCAATATATACCATCCATTTATTGGACAGACACCTAATGTACAGCAGAGCGAAATTTACTCACCAACTTTTTTTTTCTACGATACGCTACACTCATTCATCTTATAAAATTCACATGCTAGTATGCTACAAATATACAAAATACATATTATAAAAACTTCATTATTACGGTCGATCTACTTCAAATTTCAAGTAGGGGTGTGATTTATAATAACATAATTTCAACAACATAGTCATAAATTTATAAATTTATTTTAAATTTATATATCAATCAAAATAAAGATTGCTGTACATTATTTGCAATATTATAACGAATTTTAATTGTTACCTTTTATTAGTTTTAGCATAGGTACTCAATTACTAATTAGTATATTCTCGGTTTTAAGCTAATTTGACCTTTCCCTTTCAATGTTCATTAAAGTAAACGAAGATTATTGTAATAAAAACAAGCGGATAGCGATTATGTGTAAACAATATATAAATGCATTTATAATTCAGATAAGCGCACTAAATGGTCTCAGGGAAAGACCCAATTAGCCGAGTTTAAATCAATAAAAATAAATTCTTTAATCTAATATAATATAAACACGTCATGTCAAATATTTTGACGTGGGTTTATCGCCTATTACTGACACTGGGCGTTTAGTAAAAACATTATAAACTATAGAGAATATTACATTATTATGAAGTAGGTACCTAAGTATACATTTAGTATATACCATCGCGATTATGTGATAGCAATAATAAAACAGTGTAATAATAATTCCTAATATTTTATGGTCAAAATTATACATTTATTTCTGTAATATCAGCGATAATTTATTTGTATAATTAATATGGCAGTCTCATAATATATAATATTATGTAAATATAAAAAAAAAATACAAACCGTACACATTTACAATTAATGTAATGTAAGCATTTTAAAATTGTATGTCCTAGATTTTTTTTTTGAGGGGGGGGGGGGGGTTAANTGTCACTTTGACGTGACGTGTCTTACTACTCCGTACTCGTACTAATGTCAGTCGTGTATTGTGTGTACGGTATACCATGATACAAAATTCAGTGACGCTAAGTCTTGTACATTTAAGTGAAGCGAAATAAAATTAATTTCACACCCACCCACCTACCGGCTACCACAAATCACAATAATTTTAGTTTGAATAGTTTGATACATATTTCAATTTTTGTGTCTCAATATCAAACGACCTGCCACACGACCGACCCACCTACCAAAATACAAAAACGTGGAGGAGTCGCTACACTTGACCTACGATATAAATCTTTGTTTTTTTTTTTTTTTAAATGTCCCCAATGAATTTTGGCTTTTGAGTTAATTTTGATTCGTCATTCACCATATCTCCAGTCGGATTTTCGCTATTAATATTTAACACCCGTATAAAAGGATGGCAATGTCCCACTAACTTTGAAAATCTATGATTCCACCCCTCAGTCTCGTCACCTTCGTTTAAGGGGATTACATACCGACTGTTTTTAAGGAGTTGAAAATAGACAATTTTTAGACAATCTGTATAGTACGTGCGTGCAAGGCGTGTATGTGTAGTAAACTAGTAAATAATCATTAGTGTGAGTGACTTCCCTGTACCGCGGCCCGTCTATCGATCCACCACCGATTACCGACGTGCAGCGTGTTGCGTCTAATGTTATTTTTATTGTTCTTATCGATACGGGCGCTCTAATGATTATTTAAAACTGAATGTGCCGGTCTATTATCGTTATTACTTATTTTACTTTTACGTATTGTCATATTGGTCATATTAATTATCAATAATTAATATTTATAAATTATTTATTATAATATTAAAAAACTCACAAATTAACGTAATTAATTATAATAAAATGAAATTAAAGTGAAAAAATAATAATATAAAATATAGAAATATTTTTTTGTCAAAGGTTCATTCTGTATTTCTGTACTTCACACTTCAAAGTATTTTAAACCTATTTTTACTTCTGTATCAAATCCATAAGGTTTTGATAAAAAAATTTTTTGGAACACTGAATTCTTCGTCTCCTATAATTTTATTAAAAATTATCATGAGATTATAATATATATATTTATATTTTGTTGTACAATTTACAATGCAAAATTATTATGTTTACATATTATTATGTATTTGTATTGACGATTTTTATAATATAAATATTAATAATAATTTAAATATAAATACGAAAATGTATTTTGTTATTACTTATTTATAATAATTTGGTTTTAAATTATTTTAATTTATTATTAAAATTTAAACTTTTTTTTTACGTTGTTCATTAATTTTACGTTCGATCTTTTTCCGTTTCGCTTCCAGTATATTGATTGGATTTCGAATAGGCATTGGTCTTGGGTGTCTTGGATCTACTAATTCCGGTAATATACAATTGGTATAAAAATCATTTAGTTTAGGAAACATTTTTGTCTGCCACAATTCACAAAGTATCATCTCTTTCAAATTTATTCATACATATTGATTCCTTTTCTAGTCCAACAAGCTATAATTCCATATTTTCGCTTAGTAATGTGTAACTGACCATGAACTTGGTAGTAGTATTTGTGATTTCTATCCATGTCCGTAATTTCTTTATTTTTGTTAGTTTTCCAAAAATTAATTTTTTTTTGAATAATTGCTTCATCGGGATCTATATTTTCTGCCGAATACGGACATTTTATCTCGACTAAAGTGTCTGCCCCAATTAATCCATCAGGAGTAGCTCCTAAGAAAACATCATTAGAATCAATAAATAATCCACAATCGTTAATTTTAAAGTTTAATGCTAATTCTAAAACTCGTTTGGCTTGATATTCGTGTTCCCTACCATATTCCAAGGCCTTGGTATCGAGATTTGGAAAGTAGAGTAGACTTTTTAATACTCCTTCGCATCCAGTGTCCGGGCGTAATGCAATAATTCTTCCAAAGTTTGAGGCTGTCGATTATCTGACGGCGAGCTAGACAAGCGTTGCGCACTCGCATGCACATGTCACATTATGTCTAACAACGAATCTTTTTCATGGTGAAATATTGTAAATTATAGACCTAAACGAATTCCAACATAACTACTTGAGTTTTACACCGATAATAATTTTGAAAACAAATATTGTTTTGTTGTTCAATCAACTTTGAATCCTTCGAGCCACATTTTTAATTAGTTATGCTTAAAAAGAAGAAACCTCACTTGAAATTTAGAAAAAAAATCTTGTATTCTTAAAAATTTAAATGAACATAAATAGTTCAAAAAACATTTTTTTAATATACTGTTTCGAAGGATTCGAAATAGACTTCATAACAAATTCAAATATGTTTTCAAAATTATTATAGGATTAAAACTCAAGTTAGTACGCTGGAACGCGTATAGGTCTATTTTACTCTAAAAAGCGATAGTGTGGAATCCCCTTAATGTAATATTTCAGTTTTTATCCGTGTAGTTTTACCGAAATAACAATATCTAATGAACCGTTGTGGCCGAAATTCAGAAATCACCGAGACAGCAACCGGTTCTCCGAACAGTCATTATAAATTATAATAAATTATTAAAATACAAACATACAGTCGATAGTTTTTATAATATTTTCATCGTATATTAATATAAACTTAATAATATGATATTACAATTATATTAGATTATAATATTACAATAATAATTTTATTAATGATAATATGATTTACGAATATTGATAATACATAAGTGCCGCGCGTTTCGCGGTGAAGTAACGCTCGGCTCGAGATTGTATCACATTATTATCGCTAATAATTCGCTATACTACCCATCTAATAATATAATAATAATACAGTCGTGGACACAGATTTCTATGTAGAAGTGTAGTATAGAAGTCAATGTCGGTGAATTAAATCGACCGTCGCCGGACTTATAAGACATACTTATAGGTATGCAGCAGTGCGGACTGAAGTCTACGTCTCTGCGAGAGTCGAATTAGTATTATTCTGTAAACACCAAGCCGCTTTCGAAGGTTTGGGTATGCTTGTGTGGAGGGGAAATCAGCAATCGTGTAAAGGTATCGAGCGTTAATGCACCGTACAAGTATAAACTACGAATTGAGATATCAATGATATTATAAACTATTATGGTATAAACTATAATAATATTATGATGAATACAGATACGTAGCAATCGATTGGTTCTCGCCGATAAACACCGAAAAAACACACACCTACCGAAAATACCCAGCACCCCGTCACCCACCCGACTATGTAGGTTGGTGTCCAGTCCGTTACACTGCACTACAGGTAGTTAGTGTGTGGAGGTATGCAGTAGAATACATACAGAGCGTTCGAAAAGTTTTGAAACGATCATCAAACTAATCAGGATTCACGACTGACAATAATATGAGGTGATTAATATTAATATTTCACCCAATAAATGTGCAGCAGTATAGTCTGTTATTGCTAAACGGTGTGGTAATTAAAGCGTTTTCAAATGTGTCGAACACCGCCAGCTTGCGCCATAACATCGGCTGTTTTCGGCGGTAGAGGTACCTCGCAATAGTGCAAGTGTCGCGCGTGTCCACAACAACACTGCTGCAACGTCCTGTAGGCATCACCCATAGATACAGGAAAGATGGATGCCCGACTTACTCTTGATATAATATTTTGTTCGTTTGGTTTTAGTTAAAACAATTGTCACTTGTTGCGCTAGTAGAGTTTACTATGAGTATTTTATATATGTATTTTTGTTTTGAACAGTCCCTACTCCTAGACCCTAGTACCCATTGAAATTCAGTAAGCGTAGTAACAAACAATTGTCATCGCAGGGAGCCACGTAAGCAGACCAAAATTCGTTTCGAGTCGGGCTTCTATCTTTCCTTTTTCCATGGCCGTAATCGCAGTCGTACCATGCACCGTTTGGTATACTGTTCCTATCTCAAACCGCGAAGCCAGTAACGGTAAGTTGATATCGCGCAGGTTGTGCCGAAATCATATTGATTTTTAACCTCCTATTAATAGGTAGGTCCACGGCACGACGCACCAATCACAATCGATACAGATGACGCCGTGATTAATCGCAGTTGTTATTCGTCACGTCTTCGTCAGTGATGTCACCCTGTCACCCCCGACCGTTGTTGTTTTTTATTTTTTTGGTTATGTCGGTTTCCAACACTGCGCGGCGCATTCTCGTGTTCGTGTGTTATAGCTGGTAGCGTCGCAGTTCGTCTTTCCAACCACGTTTTTGCTCGCGCACGCGAACTCCAGAGTTTCACAAAGTTGCCGATAGATGCTACAACAGCAAGGCGATTCGTTCGGCTTATCGCATTTCCCCGCGTTTTCGGTGTTGTGCTCGTCTCAGTTTTTAATCTAACTTTTTGGTGTTCGGATTACGTGCGTTCGTCAAACACGAGTTCCGACTTCGGGTGACCGCGGACGTCACCTATATAACGGCACGCTTGCGGTTCACTTAATACATTCACGATAAACAGTGCGGGTTTCCGAGATCCCGTCGACCGACCACCATGTCGGATCCGGAGGGAATGTTGAAAGTGTTGGAAACGCATACAATTAAATGCGCTTTGGGACTGGACCGTGATGGATTAAAAGGCGGATTGATAGTCGGCGGTGAGTATGCGTGGTTCACAAACGGCGCCGACCTCGTGCTCTATTCAAAGACCACTGGCTGCGTGGAGTCTTCCAGATCTTTTGGTCAAACAGACAATTCAATGGAGGTAAGCTTTATTAAATGCCTAAGTGTTTCTGAAACACCACTTAAGTGGTATGGTTAACTATAGTGCAAGTGTGTAGCGTATGTGTATATTGCGAGGTATATTGTAATATAAGTATCTTCCGTTGTGGCTCTCAAACGGAGCAAGAACAATCCTAATCGTTGACAGTTCAGTTTTGATTTTTCCCTTAAAAACTGTAGGTACTGACACAATATTCAACTTAAAACAATATAATCATTTTTTTATTAGACTCAATAAGCAATTACTGTAGTACAATATAATAGTTTTTTTTTTTTTATTGAACAAAACATAATATTAACAATCTGTATTTACAAGTTATACAATAAGTAAATGTGATGGAAATTGATTTACAGGAGGGGGAAGTTGCACATTGGCGACACTCCGTGGGAAGCGATTTAAGGAGAGAGTAGGTCCTTACACTAGTTCCTTTTCAGTTGCCTGGGTGGATTACCTGGAATTTGATTGGATGATAGTTGGGTGATTATAGGATTAGAGTGAGTACTGAATGTTTTGTGTGTTTTTTGGAGGTGATTTTGGCAAGGCTGTTTAAGAAACAATATAATAGTTATCAAATATTATATGTGAATTGATTCCTCTCTTATTAAGCAAGCTTGCTACAAGAGGGGGAGGGTCTTCAATTTTAAAGTTTCTTATCTATATATTTATAAAAATCTATTAGTTACAGTTTTATGAACAAATAGTAACCAACTTTTACTTTTATTTGGAGTAGGTACCTAATGATAATAACAACAATATTCAATAACAATAACAATAATACGTACCTACCTTCCTAATTATATGTAATATATAATAACTGTTATGTTTATACTTTATTTATATTATGTTTATTCATGTTACATTAGTTACATTGTTACAACAGCTTATATTATATTACTTCTTTTACCATGCGGACATCAAACGTCTAACCGATAGCTAACTTACTGACTATTGCCGGGTTGCATGAACTTTAAATTTATTTAATGAACAGTTTTAACGAGCCGTTAAATCGTTTTACAGAATCGTTTGGGTTGCACAAATCGTACAATAAAAATATTTTGGTATTAAACATGATACCGAGGTTAGTGTAGAAATTTAAGTTTATCACAGAAAAAGTGATAAAATCCTATGATCTAGATACTGTATCAACAGCTGTTTGAACTTTTATTTTGAATATGTATAATAACAATAATTGCTAAATTCTACAAATTGTGAATTTGTAGTCTACTAGTCTGTACTTAATCTTTCTTCGGCGTTTTCGGTTCTGTTGTTTTGTACACATTTTATATGATTAGTGTTTTTTTAGCAATTGTAATTACCTAAATATTATAAAAAATGTCTGAACATAATATAAATGAGAGTCAGTTAAAACAGAAACGTATGAGAGGAAAAAACTTTACTGAAAGGGAAAAAGAGCTATTAATTCACTTGATATTGCCTTTTAAGCCAATTATTGAAAATCAATGAACTGAGATCGAAGACGACAAATCGCTTGTGATACGCGTTTTATTGTTCTACAAATGGTTGATTTATGTACGTGCACATGATCTCCAATGACAGCCTAATGAATTATTCCAAAATATTTATAAACAAATTCCTACCTAATATAATATCAACTATCAAGTTGTACACCACGATCGTGTGCAAAACATATTAAATTTTATATTGTTAGCTTAAATTAAAAATATAATATAATATACGTTTAAAAAATATTTATTCAACCATTTGCATGTGGTCGTGAGTAATATTGTAGTCTGGGGATTTTTTTTCCGATTACCGTAAGTACCTACCTACTTTTAATAGTAAGTAGGTAATTTGTAATTGTATAAATACATTTTAATTTATATTTTATACAAGTGAGAGGCAGGTTTTCATTCTGAGAACTTTATTATTAATGGCAAAGGGTCCTTAGATCTACTTGATAACTTAGAATATATTAGAATATAATATTATACTAGTATATTGTCTATATTATTTAAAATACTTGAAATGCTCCTGTTGCATAATAACGTAATGTTACTAAAATTTGAATTTCTGGAGAAATCGCGAAACTTCTACGAGAATTACGTAATTCTTCGCCAATAAAATTACATAAAAAACCAAATGTTTCCTTTGATAGCCTGTTTTTAAATTAAAAATCATGTACATTTTAGTGTATTTGTATTAAACTACCATTCATTGTAGGCGTAACTAGGGGTGGGCTGCAGCCCCCCAGAATTTTTGGATAAATGTATGTGTTTATATACTAGTAAATAAATGATAAATATTTATAAATTAGTATTAACTTTATTTTTGACTACAATATAAAAAAATATAATGTTTAATATAAACGAATAATCATTCAAGTCAGTTGTAAACATCAATAGAAACCAATGAAAAATAATAATCTAATTAAAAAAAAATCGCTATAAACATTTTTTTGGAATCTAGCCACCCCCATAACTTAAAGGACTAGTTACGACTATGCCATTCATGCATTATATAATAATATATAGGTAGTACTTACCTATGTATAAAGATAATAATATATATGAGTGGACTGCCCAGGGCGGATAGATGGAAAAGTCCGACTGGCTTAGTACAGGCCCAGTAGGACTATTAATGATTTGTACTGCATTAGGATGGAATATTTTTAGATTTTTGTTATAAATAAAACATAATACGTATTTAGAATTTAAATAATATAATAAAACTGGTTTGGTGTTATTAACATTTAAATATGTAACAATGTTTTTAAAACACCTTATTACTTACCTAAATCGACACTTAAAATCGATTTCATCAAATTCCTCCAAAGGATTTGATCGATCTCTAAATAACCTCGGTCTAGGTAAATGATACAAAATATCCAAAACAAATTCATCATCGGAAATCGATAAACTTGAATCAGAACTCGACATTTTTACTATTTTCGGTTACAGCTTATAAGTATTAAGAAAAAAATTTAATAAGTACGACCAACTACAGGGTAGGTATAGTGACGACGTACTACTGACACCTGAATACGTATGCGTGATAACTGTAGGATTATCGAATGATTAAAATTTAAAGAGCCGAAATCGACCCATTAGTTTAATGAGCTGGTAACCTATATTTTAACGGTCCAATAAAACTATTGAACGTTTAAAGATTGTTTAACAGATGAATAAAATTTTAATCATTCGTTAGCACGCTAACGGCTCGTTAAACATTTAACGGGCGTTCATGCAACCCGGCATATATCTACTAATAAGGTTATGACAGCAACAGTGTTGCCCCATATACAACATCCCCCCCTTAAACATTTTTTTTTTTTTAACAGAAAACAACAAACAATATTATATCCATGTAAGAACATTTTTTTTTTTTTTAAAAAGAAACAACAAAACAAAATACTTATATCCATGTATGAACATTTTTTTTTTTTAAAGAAAACAACAAAACAAAATAATTATATCATAACATAAATTATTCTAATAATTTTTTTGGAATCTTTACTATCCTCCCACTTTTAGTCACTCTTTCTTCTGTGCCAAAGTACTGCATCCATTCAGGTACAATCAACTCATCATCACTTAACTCCGTCTCAGTCCCTCCCTCAACATTATTCCTAACTTCCTCAATTTCTCCTACTATTGCTCTATTACTAGCACTAACTGCTTTAAAGACCATACCTATTATTATGTCATCATTATCAAACTCTTGGTGTGCACCTACTCTCGTTAGTGAACGTCTAAGGTGTGCTGATGTTCTTCGCACCATTCTTCCCGATTCTTGTACTATATAAGACCTAGGGCTATCAGCAACTTTAGCTTTTACTATACCTGGTTCCCACATTGAATTTTCCCAAACCATAACTTTGTCACCTTCCTCGAACCCTTGTTTATTCTTTGCCGTTTTATCATAATACTGTTTATATTTTTTTTTATACACTTGTTGCCTTAGGCTCACCTCAGTTTGCACCTTAGGCATTAAATTTGACTCTTTAATTGGAAATTTAGTACGCAACAACCTACTCATTAGCAACTCACAAGGTGCTGCTCCTATGTGCGGTATTGTAGTGCAACGATATTCAAGTAACAAGTCACTTACATCCCTACGCTCACTTTCAGTTTTACGTAATAACTGTTTAGCGGTCTGTACAGCTCGTTCAGCCATTCCATTTGATTGTGGATATCTTGGACTTGATGTATTTAATTCTATGTTCACTTCCTTACAGAACGTCCGAAACTCCATTGAGCCAAATGGCATATTGTCAGAAAATATTATTCTAGAACAGCCATGAACACTCATTACTATTTTAAATTGCTTGACCATTTCACTGGCTGTTTTCTGTTGTAGTTTAATCAACTCTAGCCATTTAGAATAATGATCAGCTATTACTAAGAAATCAAAACCAACAAATGTTAAAACATCACAACTAACGATTTCAAAAGGTAAACTTGGTATCTCATGATAAATCAAGGATTCCTTACTATTAGCATTTCTAAATTTTGAACAAATCACACAACTGTTCACATACTGCCGTATTTCATTATCCATAGCAATCCAATAAACCAACTATTTTGCTCTCAACAATGTCTTGAGTATACCATTATGCCCTTCATGTATCAATTTCAATGCAGCTAATTTTAATTTACTTGGTATCACTATTCTCTTATCATAATATAATATTCCTTGGTCCACAGAGATATTCTTTTTTAACCTCCAATAATGTCTTATGCACTTGGGCACTTGTCTTTTGTCTTTAGGCCACCCCTCTGTAAACATTTTAACCACACTTTTCAATATCTCGTCATTCTCAGTTTCTTTTGCTATTTCAGTCACAATAATATTTTTGTAATCAATTGCATGGATAACTCTATCTCTTGTTCATTTTCTTCTTCATCAAGGTAATTTCTAGAAAGAAAGTCTGCAATGAACATAAGCTTTCCCGGCAAATATTCTACATGTAAATCATAAATAATGAGTTTCATTTTCTGTAACCTTACTGAAATTACTTTATC